TGGGTGCCAGGGGGCTCTGAGGGGTGCAGGTGGGGGGACTCTGAGTGAGATAGCGGGTGCTAGGGGGGCTCTGAGGGTGCAAATGGAGGGGCTCTGAGGTGGCTGGTGTGTGCTAGGGGCCTCTGAAGGGTGCAGGTAGGTGCTGGGGGGGCTCTGAGGGTGCAAATGGAGGGGCTCTGAGGTGGCTGGTGTGTGCTAGGGGCCTCTGAAGGGTGCAGGTAGGTGCTGGGGGGGCTCTGAGGGTGCAAATGGAGGGGCTCTGAGGTGGCTGGTGTGTGCTAGGGGCCTCTGAAGGGTGCAGGTAGGTGCTGGGGGGGCTCTGAGGGTGCAAATGGAGGGGCTCTGAGGTGGCTGGTGTGTGCTAGGGGCCTCTGAAGGGTGCAGGTAGGTGCTGGGGGGGCTCTGAGGGTGCAAATGGAGGGGCTCTGAGGTGGCTGGTGTGTGCTAGGGGCCTCTGAAGGGTGCAGGTGGGTGCTGGGGTGGCTCTGAGGTGGCTGGTGTGTGCTAGGGGCCTCTGAAGGGTGCAGGTGGGTGCTGGGGTGGCTCTGAGGTGGCTGGTGTGTGCTAGGGGCCTCTGAAGGGTGCAGGTGGGTGCTGGGGTGGCTCTGAGGTGGCTGGTGTGTGCTAGGGGCCTCTGAAGGGTGCAGGTGGGTGCTGGGGTGGCTCTGAGGTGGCTGGTGTGTGCTAGGGGCCTCTGAAGGGTGCAGGTGGGTGCTGGGGTGGCTCTGAGGTGGCTGGTGTGTGCTAGGGGCCTCTGAAGGGTGCAGGTGGGTGCTGGGGTGGCTCTGAGGTGGCTGGTGTGTGCTAGGGGCCTCTGAAGGGTGCAGGTGGGTGCTGGGGTGGCTCTGAGGTGGCTGGTGTGTGCTAGGGGCCTCTGAAGGGTGCAGGTGGGTGCTGGGGTGGCTCTGAGGTGGCTGGTGTGTGCTAGGGGCCTCTGAAGGGTGCAGGTGGGTGCTGGGGTGGCTCTGAGGTGGCTGGTGTGTGCTAGGGGCCTCTGAAGGGTGCAGGTGGGTGCTGGGGTGGCTCTGAGGTGGCTGGTGTGTGCTAGGGGCCTCTGAAGGGTGCAGGTGGGTGCTGGGGTGGCTCTGAGGTGGCTGGTGTGTGCTAGGGGCCTCTGAAGGGTGCAGGTGGGTGCTGGGGTGGCTCTGAGGTGGCTGGTGTGTGCTAGGGGCCTCTGAAGGGTGCAGGTGGGTGCTGGGGTGGCTCTGAGGTGGCTGGTGTGTGCTAGGGGCCTCTGAAGGGTGCAGGTGGGTGCTGGGGTGGCTCTGAGGTGGCTGGTGTGTGCTAGGGGCCTCTGAAGGGTGCAGGTGGGTGCTGGGGTGGCTCTGAGGTGGCTGGTGTGTGCTAGGGGCCTCTGAAGGGTGCAGGTGGGTGCTGGGGTGGCTCTGAGGTGGCTGGTGTGTGCTAGGGGCCTCTGAAGGGTGCAGGTGGGTGCTGGGGTGGCTCTGAGGTGGCTGGTGTGTGCTAGGGGCCTCTGAAGGGTGCAGGTGGGTGCTGGGGTGGCTCTGAGGTGGCTGGTGTGTGCTAGGGGCCTCTGAAGGGTGCAGGTGGGTGCTGGGGTGGCTCTGAGGTGGCTGGTGTGTGCTAGGGGCCTCTGAAGGGTGCAGGTGGGTGCTGGGGTGGCTCTGAGGTGGCTGGTGTGTGCTAGGGGCCTCTGAAGGGTGCAGGTGGGTGCTGGGGTGGCTCTGAGGTGGCTGGTGTGTGCTAGGGGCCTCTGAAGGGTGCAGGTGGGTGCTGGGGTGGCTCTGAGGTGGCTGGTGTGTGCTAGGGGCCTCTGAAGGGTGCAGGTGGGTGCTGGGGTGGCTCTGAGGTGGCTGGTGTGTGCTAGGGGCCTCTGAAGGGTGCAGGTGGGTGCTGGGGTGGCTCTGAGGTGGCTGGTGTGTGCTAGGGGCCTCTGAAGGGTGCAGGTGGGTGCTGGGGTGGCTCTGAGGTGGCTGGTGTGTGCTAGGGGCCTCTGAAGGGTGCAGGTGGGTGCTGGGGTGGCTCTGAGGTGGCTGGTGTGTGCTAGGGGCCTCTGAAGGGTGCAGGTGGGTGCTGGGGTGGCTCTGAGGTGGCTGGTGTGTGCTAGGGGCCTCTGAAGGGTGCAGGTGGGTGCTGGGGTGGCTCTGAGGTGGCTGGTGTGTGCTAGGGGCCTCTGAAGGGTGCAGGTGGGTGCTGGGGTGGCTCTGAGGTGGCTGGTGTGTGCTAGGGGCCTCTGAAGGGTGCAGGTGGGTGCTGGGGTGGCTCTGAGGTGGCTGGTGTGTGCTAGGGGCCTCTGAAGGGTGCAGGTGGGTGCTGGGGTGGCTCTGAGGTGGCTGGTGTGTGCTAGGGGCCTCTGAAGGGTGCAGGTGGGTGCTGGGGTGGCTCTGAGGTGGCTGGTGTGTGCTAGGGGCCTCTGAAGGGTGCAGGTGGGTGCTGGGGTGGCTCTGAGGTGGCTGGTGTGTGCTAGGGGCCTCTGAAGGGTGCAGGTGGGTGCTGGGGTGGCTCTGAGGTGGCTGGTGTGTGCTAGGGGCCTCTGAAGGGTGCAGGTGGGTGCTGGGGTGGCTCTGAGGTGGCTGGTGTGTGCTAGGGGCCTCTG